GAAGATCTCCGCATACGCATCAGTCCTAAAGCAGGCGTAAAATAATTAGCCGAACTCAGTTCATTTTCACAAAGTTCAATGTTCTAGAATATTGGACATGTGTGTAGAATATGCTATAAACAGGTGAAAATAAATTTTAGTAATTTGTGCATTAGTTTCAGCACATGAGAAGTTAGACGTTTGAACTGGGCCAAACAGCGATGATTGTAGCCGTCTTTTTTTTTAACTTAAAACTGTATTTTTATCAAGAAAAGACTTCTGTAACTCAAAAGGTCACGTTGGCTTAGAAAAGAAAAGTAATTATAAAAACATCGACTAGTTTTGAAAACTTTTACGCTAGCTTAAATTTGTATCCTTAATATTCTTCTGATTGGTATTCTTTGCGTAAAATAGATTCTTTTCGCTCGAAGGAATGTGATCACCGTGGACAAAACAATTCATATTTATTAGTTAATAAATATTGAACGTTGACCGTACTTTTCCCTTAAAAAATAAACAAAAAAACAATCGGAAAGAGGCCCCACCGATTTTGTTTGAGTGGAGGGGGCGGCTGTGCACAGACTAGATTTTGGGGCATTTTCTTCTTTACTTCGAACTTTTTCCTTGTGAAATTCTTCACCCTTACCCAGGCGGTGTTGAACATGGTCCACGTGACCACTTTTGTCCAATCACGTCATTGCAGATGGCGGACTGATTCTTTCACCTTTTTCTGGGTAGTCTCTTCGATTTTCTTCGATTTTCGCCGTTCATCAAGTGATTTACGATTACATTTTGTGGAAAAGTACGAGAAGACAGATGAATTCATACGGACTGAAATGAATAGGAAACCTCCGCTAACTTGCTGTTGTCATCAACAACAACAAGTTAGCGGACGAGGATTCCACATTTGCCTTTCTGCTCCAGTTTTCTTCTGGAAATCCAGAATAGGTTCCACATTATTTTTGATGAGAAGATCAGTATCCTTCATGCACATGTCAATGTACCTGAAAAAAATCTGAGGTGAGAAAAGCACTAAAGAGAAGCTTACGTTCAAAATCAAGCACTTTAATTAAGCACATGTAAGAATGAAGTGATGATACGTACCGCGTTGTTTCGATCCCTAAAATTATCTCTTCGATACAGATAATAACAGTTTTGTGAAGCCAGCAGTAAACGTCGATTGCGGCCACCTTTCCGGAGAAAGACCTCAAATGAACATCGCATGTTATATCTTTTAAAAACGGAAGAAGACCTGTAATGCCCATATCACACTATTTCTCCAGGTATTTTTATGGCGTAACAAGAGATATGAACAGAGCAAGGGTCAGATGCAAATGAGCCGTTTTTGATTTTTTCCCCATGATGCCCTTCGGACCGAGTCCAACACCGCCTGCCCTATTCCCTTAAGCTTTTGGATTTTGAGGGATCTACTATAATCTCTGAACAATTTGAGCAAGTAAAGCATCAGTTTGTTTGACCTGACATGTTATTGAAACGACTCATTAACAAAACAAATGGTCTCCGAAAAAGACTCCTCAAGTACAATTTTGAGCTATATCAAGGTCTTTTTTTGGATCGAGGTACATGTAGTACTTAAAGAAGTTTATGTCTTTTATGGCACACAAGGAAACCACCTTCATGCTCAACCTTTCATTTTATTGCCTGAAAAAAATTATTTGTTTTTATAGCCATGGTCATGACTTCACAGTGAGTGACAGATGCTTTTTTCAGATATTTTCAAAGGTTATTAATTTATTGCAAACAGAGAGGTTTATCAACAAGAGGTGTAAGATACAGAATGATGACATGTATTGAAATGGATATGTTTTGTTTTCATCATCATCATCATCATCATCATCATCATCTTTATTTAATCACAGAGTCTCATTCATAAAAATGCTCTGATCCAGGGAGCAATGCAAAAATTATGCAATAAAATAACATTAGATAAGCACAGTTATTAAAATAATGGTTCTAAAATTACAAATGTGAGAGAAATATACTTTAAGCTTAGCTTGTCTGTCATTTAACAGCGTTTGATAGACTATTCCAACCGCCCCTTTATAGTGAAAGCTGTTTTTTCCAGCCTCAGTATTCAGTCTTGGTACAGACAATAATATTAATGTTTACCACCGTTTTCCTTGATACGCGACTTTCCAAATCAAAACACCCTCTGAAACGTTTCCAAAATTTCCGTCAATCATACTCGTCATACCATATATGGAAGTGTTGGACTGGGCCTGAAAATTTAAAATATGGCGGCCGGTCGAAGTTACATGTAAACATGGTGGCAAGTTATTCGTTAAATTTGCGTTGGCGAGTAGTGTATTTACTCGTTCAGGGATTTACTGTCGAACATGTTACCAGACTACTTCACGTAGGGAAGACGTTTGTAAAAAAGATTCGAAATCTTTACCAGAACACAAAAACAGTTCATTATCAATCACGGCCGGGTAGAGTGAGAAAGTTGGAAGGTAAGTAAGCTTACGATTTGAACTTAAGTTTTTGTAATCACTTCTCTAAATGAGCCTAATTGTATCAAACGAATACATAACCATTGTTTTTCTCACCTGGACTTAGCACAGGACGTGTTATTCATAAGAAGGGTAATCCAGC